ATGGATTATAAGAGCATATTATCATCCCTAAAAATGCCAGGAAAAAAAAAAAATAACTCATTAAGTACTTGAACCCATGCATTCTTGTCTGCCCTTTGAGAGGCCAATCTTATTGACTAAAATAATAAAATATTAAAAATCTACCATTACAATTCTCCATAATAATTCTAACCATAACCTAACTCTCTGTTTTTGGTGCTTATATATTTTTTAATTTCTGAATTGTAAAGTTCACCACTGTACTCAAGTGCGAAGCTAGGAATTTTAGTAAGGAAAGCTGGATTTTCAAACTTCAAATAATACATTATTATTTCAAAATTTTACTTTTATATTATAAATTAAAATAATACTCGACGAATTTTCATATCATAAAATCTATCTATAATAGAGTTACACTAAATGTCTGAACTATTTTCTTTTTAATATAAATAATCAATTAAAAGGAATTTATCATCCATTTTACTGTGAAATCTTGTTTTCATAATTTTCATGTCAGAAAATGCTTTTTTTGTTGTTGCCGTAGAAATTGGAAGAGTTTTTTTTTTTTTTTTTTTTTTGAAAAGCAAATTGGAAGAGTAAGTACCAAAGTAATTAACTTGTAAATGAGATTATAGATCTTCAATTTTCATATCTCCACAAACCATTAATATAACTCAGAAATATTTAACAAATTCTAAAAAGGCAAAATACCCAAATCCACCCCCAAAGAATAGTAGCAGGGACGAATTCACCTCCGAACAAAAAGTGAGGACAAATCCACTCACAAAATTTTTAACTTGGACAAATCACCCCAAATTTAACGTATGACATCATTTGACATCAGCAATCCCTTAACGAATTAACGGATTGCTGACGTTAGATGACGTCAAATTAACAGATTGCTGATATCAAATTACGTCACACGTTAAATTTGGGGTAATTTGTTCAAGTCGAAAATTTTGTGGATGGATTTGTTCCCATTTTTTGTTCGAGGGTGGATCCGTCCTTGCCACTATACTTTGGGAGTAGATTTTGGTATTCTGCTATTCTAAAAATCATAATCACAACTTGTTTCAATTTCATAATGTTCAAACTCTAATCTCAAATGAAGTTTCTCCATCTTCAAAAAATCCTGAAGATAGTATTTTTCTACAAGCTCATAAATATGATCAATATTGAAACCTTGCGATTGCTTTTCTCTATATCCAAGGTTTTTTCTTTTACTGAATTCATATACATTCCCTTTAAAGATCTATACCCCTTTTTTTTTTTTTTCAATTTTTTTACTCCAATTCTATATTAGTATTCTATATAACTTCAATATTATCATAATATTCAATTTTGTTTATAGTCTCAACAACTCTAAATCCTAAAAGAAAATTATACAATTTTTTATAATAAAAAATCAATAAGTTTTATTATTTAAATATTACTCCCTCCATACTAGAATAATAAATTTTTTGTTTTATCTTCAAATTAAAGATTTGGAAACAATTTTTATTTTTACCTATTTTGTACTTAAAAATAATTAAAAATAAATATTTACTTCAATCAAAATATAAATAATTAAAATTAAAAATTAATCATAGGGTTAAAGTAAAAAAAAACTATTTTTAAACAAAAAAAAAGAAAAAAAAAACTATTATTTTGGAGCAAATTTTAAATAAAAAACATTTATTATTATGAAATAAGGAGAGTACTAATTTTTGTCGTTAGAACATATCTACTAATGAATATAAGATAAATTTTAAAATAAAATTAAAAAAATTTAAAAAACTTGAAAATTGAAACCCAAGATTCATATAAAAAAAGATAGTATTTTCTTTACCTTTTTTATAGTTAGTGATCCCTCTGCCTTTAAGCTTTTAAGTTTCACTAACAAGAGAGTAACGCAGTAGTGTAGTAGTGCTATAGTGGCACCGACGAACGGGATGAGTGGATAGAGTCCTCTTTCTTTTTTTCTTTTTTTTTTTTTGAAGTTGTTGGGTACTTTAAGTTGAAAGAGGTTGGGATTGGGACTAAGCACCGAAAGAGACAGGATAGAAGACACAAGATTTTTGTAGATAGTTGTAAACTTTGAGATGTGTTATTTAAAGAATGATAAACAATTAAATTGTTAAAATGGATAATGAATCATATGAATTATATTTGGGTTTCTGAAATAGCCCATTATTATTAAAATTTTTTTATTTTATATGTTTTAATAATTAAAAATATAATATTTAAAATTTTAATAATAATAATTAATATATATTTTTTTCAAATCCTAGGGCCTACCGTGTTCTTGGTCTACAAGTCACTCCGCCAGTAACTGCACTGATACTAAGAGCCCGTTTGATATAGCAGTTTTGGATAGTAGTTAGCAGTTTTACCTAAACCGCCAAATATAGGTGTTTGATAAACTTATATATTTCAAAATTGCTACAAATAAAATGTTTGGTAAAATTTTTATTTACCAAGTCACTCCGCCACTGACTGCACTGATACTAAGAGCCCGTTTGGTATAGCGGTTTTGGGTAGTGGTTAGCAATTTTACCTAAACCGCTAAATATAAGTGTTTGATAAATTTATATATTTTGAAACCGCTACAAATAAAGTGTTTGGTAAAATTTTTATTTAGCGGTTTGAAACTAGTGGATAGCGGTTATGATCCAAACCGCTAGCAAATTGAAAAAATTAATTTATGTAACTTTTTATATTAAACCGCTAGCAGATTAGAATTTTTTAATTTTATTGACAAATTTATCTTTTTTAATTTTTTAATTTTTGGTCACATTTTTTAATTAATATTTATCTAATAAATTTCAATTTTGTTTTTTTTTACCTTTAATAACATTAAGTGATTATAATATTTTTTTCTACATTAATTTATAATTAAAAAATATATTATCTTAAAAAACAAAATTT